CAGTATTGGATTGGCCACGTTTCCGGCCTCGTTTGGGGGGAGAATTCACCCCAGCTTGTAAAGATCAAAGTTCTCTTGCACTCATAGCAGTAGACAGCAAGATTAGAAGGTATAAGAGCCAAGTGGGACTGCAAGAACAAAGGGGACAGGAAGCAAGATGAAGGGGGAAGGGAAGAAAGACATGGGAACTTAGACACACACAGCTAGGGTTGAGGGTTTCTTTCAGATGTCTATTTTCAGTAATTAATCAAAATTTCAAAGTAAGAGGCAGTGTGAAAATGCCGCCTCATTTTGATTCTAAGTATGTACAGGAGATGTAAGCCAGGCAAACAAACAAGACAGCAGGTGGGATTAGTGTTCGCAAGTTCAGTTCAGTCCGGTTTTTTGCCCCCAAAACGCGCAACCGTGGACCGCAACCGGTCTAGGACCGACCCAGATATTGACGGAACCGAACCGAACCACCTAGGACCGGTCTATTTCGGTCTATGGAGCCGGTTCAGACCGATCCAGACCGGTTTTTTTGCGTATAATTTATTATACCAATATAAACCATTTGTATCTTGACTATTATTACTCTGAAAAATAAACGGGTTGTATGAAATAGTAAAGCATGTAAATACCCGTCATTCTACCAATTTTGAAGAGATTTAATGAAGATTTGACATAGCTATGACTGAAACCGAATTACATCTCGTAGAGGCTTGGGTAAAATATGGATTTGGTTATATCTTTCTCAATTCTTAACCGTTTTTGATGAAACAAAAACCCAATAAAAGGTAATAAACGTGGTTAAAAGGGTACGTAACGCACGTGACCGTTTAACCGGTTGCAACCGATCAAAACCGGTCTTTGAACAGTTTTAAAAGATTTTCGAAATGAGGCAACTGGCAACTGGACCAACCCCAAATTGGGGCAACTGCAACCGAAAAAAAGACCGGACCATGGTCCGGTCCAGTTCGGTCCACCGGTTTTTTGCGGTCCTATGGACTGAACCTTTAAACACTAGGTGGGATTCCTGCTGTCTCGTTGTGTTCTGGGGTTCAGGAATTTACTGTAAAATGAAATACAGAGGCATGCCTCGTTGGTATTCTAGGGAAATGCATGAAAATTGTAAAGTAAGCCGTTGACGTTGGGCGGTGGGCGTCTGCGATGGGCGGTGGGCATTTGCGATGGGCGGCGGTGGGTGTTGTTGATGGGCAGTGGGCGTTTGCGATGGGCGGCGGTGGGTGTTGTTGATGGGCGGTGGGCATCTGCGATGGGCATTTGCGATGGGCGGTGGGCGTTTGCGATGGGCATTTGCGATGGGCGATGGGCATTTGCGATGGGCGGTGGGCGTTATGGGTGGTGGGCATTCATTTACGGGTGGTTGTTGGGTGGGCTGTGGGCGTTGTCGTCGTGAGCGGTGGGCGGTCGGCGCCGTTTCGTGGGCATTTGGCACTGGGTGAGCGATGGGTGTTGTTCGTGGGCGTGGGGTTCTCATTTGTGGGTGTCGTGTAGTAATTTGTGGGCGGTGAAGCCTCGTGGGTGCTCGTGTTCGTCTTCGGGTGCTAGGGTTGTCATCTGGGGGGCATGGTGGTGTGTGTCATTCAAAATGGGATGGGATGGGGGGAATTGACTTACTAGAAAGCGACGACGATGAACGACGTTGTTCGTTCGTCGTCTAGTTGCCACATTGCGTGGCAATGGGAACTCCCTCCCCCCCCCCTCATGTCGCGTTCATCGTGTGAAGTTGGTGACGTGGCGCTTGGTGATGTGGGCGTGGTGGATTGTGGTGGGCGTGGGCGACAGATGCAGATGGCGTCGAGCGACAGGGATCGTGGTGGTCACGATGAGCGGTGGTGGTGACGGACGTGTTTGGCGGCGGTGACGAGCATGGTGGTGGTGGGAGGAAGAGGGTGGTCGTGTTTGGTGAGCATGATTGCCAAACAGATATTATTTGTTATCCATCGGAAATAAACAAACTATAATACATAACAAAACAATAAAATAACTAGATTGCAGTTCCTGCCCATTCCGGGGAATGCTATTCCTGCCCATTCCGGGGAAGACCATTCTGGGGAACATTCCGGTGTACATTCCAGAATCCACCGGAATGGAACACACCAGAATAAACAATTTAGCAGGGCCTTCTGCTAAATTCCATTCCACCGGAATGACTGGATTCCTGCAGGAATAGGGGGGGCACTGATAAGACCTCAAGGCGATCCCCACCGCCCTTTTGACGATGGTCGTGAACAGCTGATGATGCTACTAACCTTCTGTTATGTGCTGTGAATGTAAGGCAGAGGCATCTACGGGTTCAATGTCGCGTATTCCTCGCTTTTCATTCAACGGATTCAATAGCAACCAGCTATTGCTCAAGTGCTCGCAGGTGATACCGTCACATCCTCTGACAGTCACACCGAGCGCCTTATCAGACAAAGCATGTTCCGAGCGCTAAGCACCTCCCTTTCACTAAAACCACCATGTCTACCGCGAGGGGTAGCTCAACGGGAAGGCCTAGCATTGAGATTACAGGTAACCTCCCAGGTTTTTGCCCCCAGGTCAAATATCTGACACCCATTGACTAGAAATCTGTGTTTCATCCCAGCGGTCCAACTTTCGATTGGATCGTTCGAGCGGGAATCACCTTGTCTCCTGAATGCAAAGACCCACAACTTTGAGTTGTCATCCCCCTGGTGAGCCGATGATCATGTGTGCCATTGGACGACAAACCCAATCAAAGCAGTCAACTTTCTGTTTCAGAGCCCCTCTATCTGCAAGTCCGATTCCATGGATTGTTTCATGCTGCGTCGAAGAGCAAGATACCTCTCGATGAACTGCTAAGCAAGGTTGGCCCCACTTCTCCGGAAAACAAGGCAAGTGCCTCCCTGCTGCAATCGCTACTGTCTTGCTGATGCGGGACTTTCTACGCTAGAATGGTCAAAATCATTTGACAAGTTCGATGTCGTCCTGAAGTTTAGCCAATACGCAGGGTTGTATGCACTTCTTCCCCAAATGCAAAAACATCTGCCTAATGCAGGTGCTATCAATCTTAGAATGCTTTAACCAAGGCGGAACCTCCGACGAGTGGCAACTTACAACCTACAACGGATGAGTTATTCAAGTTGGTCGAACGGTTAGTCTGCTTGGTCTCCGACTACTCTGACTAAACCACTAGTGGCTACCACTTTATTTCTATAACCTAGACCCAAGCCTAGAGGGTCATTTCTATAACTTAGACTTAAGCCTAGAGGCCATATCTATAATGCTTAGGATTTTTTGAAAGGCATTTCAAATGTAGGCCTGGGTATTTCATAGTGAATTTTCCATAGATACCCAGCGCATTTTCTGTGAAATTTCAAATGCAGCCCTGGATATTTCATTGCAATTTTTCAATAGAGAGCCTTGGTATTTCATTGCAATTTTTCAATAGACACCCTGGGCATTTCATTGTGATTTTTCAAATGGATCCCTGGGTATTTCATTGTGATTTTTCAAATGTATCCCTGGATATTTCATTGCAAAATTTCAATGGATACCTGGCGCATTTCATTGTGATTTTTCAAATGTATCCCTGGATATTTCATTGCAAAATTTCAATGGATACCTGGCGCATTTCATTGCGATTTTTCAATAGATACCCTGGGTATTTCATTGTGATTTTTCAATAGATACCCTTAGCATTTCATTGCGATTTTTCAAATGTATCCCTGGGTATTTCATTGTGATTTTTCAATAGATACCCTGGGCATTTCATTGCGATTTTTCAAATGTATCCCTGGGTATTTCATTGTGATTTTTCAAATGATACTCTGGGTATTTCATTGCGAATTTTCAAATGTAGCCCTGGGCATTTCATTGTGATTTTTCAAATGTATCCCTGGATATTTCATTGCAAAATTTCAATGGATACCTGGCGCATTTCATTGCGATTTTTCAATAGATACCCTGGGTATTTCATTGCAAAATTTCAAATGTAGCCCTGGGCATTTCATTGTGTTTTTCAAATGGAGCCCTGGGCATTTCATTGTGAATTTTCAATAGATACCCTGGGTATTTCATTGTGAATTTTCAAATGT